CGTGGCAGTAATTAGGGTGGGAGGCACTGAGGTATTGTCAGGCGATGGATCATCTCCACTTTGCTTCCTAGAGCAAGGGACGGAGAGGTGGACTCCGTGCTCCCAGGCGGGGGAGTTTGCCGAAGATGGTTTTACACAAAGGGTGGGCTCAGGCTGCTGAGCCCCACACACGACACCCTGGGCTCTGACCTCACACGCCAGCCGTGTAAGGGCCCTCACACGGGCTCCCCACGGCCTTTCTCATTACTCAAACGGGCTCTGCAGGGTGAGAGGAGCTCCTGCCCCCACCTGCTCCCTCCTCAAAGCCAGCAATTATCTGGGAGCTGCTCAGAGCCACTGTCCTCCCCTCACCCCACACCCTGGGGATCCCTGCCGTGCTCAAAATCCAGGCCAAGAAAACAAACGGGGAAGGTGTCGCTTTTGTGGTGGTTATTTTCATGCTGTTTACAGCGATGCTGTGACTGTTTCACCGGCACAGGCACACGGCACCAGTCCCGTGTGTCCCTCACCAGCCCCACAGACCCAGGGCTGCCCATCATCATGGGCTCCCTCCCAGTCTGGGGCCACAGGTCCCCTCAGTCCAGCCCTTGGCACCCCACACTCACAGGGCGTTGGACTGGGCCCTGTTTCTCTCCTGGATCTTGCCCTGTTCGATGGATCCAAACTTTTACAGCATTCCTGAAACATTCTGTTCTGCTTTTCCTCCCTCCTCCATCCTCTTTATTTTCCATTATTTGCTACAGTCTCCACATTCCCAGGTCAGACGCCAGGAATCTTCCTGGCCCAAGGAGAGACGCAAAACAGGCTGGGTGCCCCTGCTGCAATCTCTCAGCCTGCTTAGACCCTGCCCTGGGGGCTCTGATCCATCGAGGGGGGCTCGACTGGGACCCCCAGTCCCTGCCTGCTGGGGCCAGGTGCTGAGGTGGAGGCAGGGGGTCCCACACTCCCCAAAAGCCCCATCCTGCCTGTCATGACCCGTCTCTGGGGTCGGTGTGATGGGGCCCCGCTGCCGGCAGCCCTTGTGACTGATGAAGGCGATTCCCTGGCAATGGTTCCCTGGCAACAGTGCCATGGCAACGGCGCTACGGCAACGGGCGAGTGCCAAGGGGATGTGGGGGATACTCAAGGGGATGTGGGGGATACTCATGGCAATCGAGGGACCACTGGACCCCCCGGGGCTAAGGGATGCCCTCCCCAGGCCTGGCATCCTGGTGGCACTGCCGGCCCAAAGCTGTGGCATCACTGGGGCCTCCTTAAGGGTTCTGGTGCTCCCGATCCATCCTGGGTGCCAGGAAGGACAGCAAGGTGATCCTGGGGCCACCGAGCTCTTCAGGAACAACCAGGCCAGACAAGGAGCAGGGGAAAGGAGCAGGGACATGGGGGATGACACCCTGGGAGCTCCCAGCAGCAGTCCCCAGGCCCGTGCTGGACCCACACACGTGAGCACACACGCGCCCGCGCTCTGCCTTGGCTCTCCAGCTCTTTCCAGCCCTGCTGATGCTGCCGTTTCCCACCATCACAAGGGAAGCCCGTGACCTTTTGTCTCCTCCCGCCTGACATGAAACAATAATGTTTATTTGCCTTCCTCCGTTTTTTCCCCATTAGCTCATCCAAATGTGTGAAGAGTCGTTTCAAGCTGCTCCTCTGCTCCCCTGACCTCCCCTGCCTCCCCACCCGCTCAGCTCCAAGCTGGGGGAAGGCAGGAGAGCGCCCTGCATGGGCACCAGCCCTGCACGGGCCCAGGGTGTGTGGTAAAGGCAGCAGTCGAGGGATCAGCACTGATTTCCAGCACCATTCCCAGGAGCCGGGCCCGGAGTGCCGCGGCCGTGGGGAGGCTGCAGAGCTCTGTCACAAAGCCATTAACAGCATCGAACGCCCCCGATGGGAGGGAAGGGAGGGGAGGGGGCTGCAGCCGCCCGGGGGCCGCCATGCATCGACCATGAAGGCAAATGCATCAGCGGCTCGGGCAAGGATGGCCAGAAATCCGCGCGGCCACCGAGCCACGTGCCCGGCACAGGGTGGGGACCCTGCTCGGCTCCTGGTACAGGGGGGCTGCTCCTGCCCTGCCCACGGTGTGGCTGCATCCTCCTGCTGCTGCTGCATCACCCCAGTGCCCATCCCACTCCTTCCAGCTGCCTTCCCCACTGCCTTCCCCACTGCCTGCACAGCCCCAGCCATCGCCGCTGCCCGGGGAGGGGACAGGGACAGAGGGAGGCGGGGGGAGGAGATGGCAGCCCCAGGCTCCCGAAAACGCAGATGCATTAGAGCAAGCGGAGCTGCCTGATTGATTCTTCGGGCTGAGACGTGGGCTGGGAGTGCCAGGAGAAAATGGATCCCATGAATATTTGATGAACGGAGGCTTGGGGAGGGAGTTTGATTGGAAAATTACAGATCTTTCAAACAATGGTTCAAGTGCCCTCCAAACACTTGGGTTTCCAGCTCCCTTCCAGTTAGAGGAGCAAGTCTCCACCAGGAAACTCCCCCCACGATTCATGAATGAGAGTGGAGCTGGCCGCTCCCCACCCCCAGGAGCACCGGCTGGCCAGGACAGGCAGTCCTGGCACTGGCAGGATGTGGCACCTGTCTCCTGTCACCATCCCTGGGCTCCTGTTCTTGTGTGGCTGCGTGGCTTTCCCACAGCAATGCCATGAACACAGGCACACATGATGTTCCAAGGAGCCAGCAGGAATGTGGATCCAGGCAGGGGCGCCCCTGTGAGCCACGGGGAGCTCAGTCCTCGGCGCCAAGCCCAGGGGCTGGGCCCAGCCCACGTCCAGCCATGCTGTCAGGAAACACCTGTCTGGGGCAGGATCCAGCCGGCTCCTCTCCCTCCTCCAGGCTCCTCCTTGCTCCTGTCTGGGACCTGGGGGCTGCTCAGGGCTGCTTGTCTCCGGATGCAGTGAAGAGACTCAGGAAACTGGGCTGTGCCTCCAGCCCCAGCCCTGGTGCCTCCACTCAGCCCTGTCCCAGGGCACGGCACCTCCTCAGCTTTCCTGCGGCACCTCTGCTGCTGGAGCCCTGGCTCAGCTCCCAGCACAGCTCCTGGCACAGCTCCAGCCACATGAACCCCCACCCCTCTGGGGAAAGGGGCTGTTTCTGGCCAGGAAGCAGGAACACCAACACCAGCGGCTTCCCAGGAAACCTGCTCCAGTTCCTCCCAGCAAGGCAGGTCTGGCCGAGAGGCCCCGTCATGCGGCTGAGCTCTGAACCCCATGATCTGCCAGCCCAAAGCAGGGCTGGGTGCTGTTGTGGGGTCTGTGGTGGAGCTTTATGGCTCCTCTGGGAAGGGTGACAGTGCTGCTCCTCTGGGACAGGGACAGGACACCAACCCCTTCTGGTTCCTTGCACATGGCCAGGAGGCAGCGGGGTCTGGCCTGGGTTTCACTTCTCCCTGGATGCCAGAAGAGAACAAGGTCTTGAGTCCCTTCCCAAAGGACTCATGAGTTATTTCTCAGGCAGAAATCTCCCTCCTTCCCCTGGGTGCAGCTGTCAGCTTTGGATCAGAGTGGGGAAGGCAGGACCAGGAGAGCCCTCACTCCAAGGAGACCCTCAAAGCCAAGGGGAGAGCAGCAACTGAGACAAACCAGCAGAGCAGCCAGATGTGAGATGCAGGATCTCCAGCTGCTCACGAGCACTGACAGCAGTGGGAGCAGAGGGCACAAGAGCAGCTCCAGTGGGACCAGCACAGCCTTTACCAGAGTTGGAAAGTTTCCGCCAAACCTCCCTGGGCACCAGTGGATTGTGGCAGCCAGGACCCTCCTCCAGCCACTGCCTGTGCCAAGGCAGAGCAGGAGCCAGGGCAAAGGCAGCAGTGCCCGCCCCAACACCCGTTGGCTGCCACAGAGCCAGGCCAACAGCAGGGCAGCACCTCGCCATGTCCCCAGCTGCCCTGGGACCCTCCTAATCCTCCAGCCCCGTGGCCAGGCTCTGAAACTGAGTGGCTGGAGGGGTCGTGTTGTTTTGCTTTGTGGCTGTGCCTCCCACCCGGGCTCACTCGCGGAGTTTCACTCAGAAGAAAGAGGCATTGGCAGGTCCAGTGTATGGAGCAGGCAGGGGAAACCCTTTGCACCCCTCCATGGGCTCTTTGGCCCTTGCTGGGAGGGTTGGTCCAGAGCAGGGTGAATGTGGAGCCCAGGGGCAGGAGCCACCATCCTGTCCAGCACCATCCCCAGACGCCTCTGCCCCAGGAGAGCCCAGTCCAGCCCGGCAGCTCCTCACCCCCTCCCCAGGGCACGTCACACCCCTCGGCTCTGCCCTTCCCCTCGCTGCTGCCTTTTGGCAAATCACGCACGTTTTCCTCCCCAAAGAGGCTCTTTCCTGCAGGGACTGTGGCGCCGTGGAGCTGCCCTGGCCCTGCCTCTGGCCCCTTCAGCATCACGGGGAG